ACCCCGGGACATGGGAAGCCCAGGGAGAGAGCACTGCCTGACCCCACTGCTGCTGGCACTGCAGCTGAGGATGAGGAAGGTGCTAGTGCTTCACAGAGATCAGATTCTGTCTGCCCTGCCTAAAGGGAGGATCTACCCATGGTGTGTGCATGGGGTAGGGCAGTGCAGCTGGGGCTGGGAGAAGGGGAAACTGAGGCACACACTCTGTGTAAAACCTCACCAACTCCAACAACAGCTTCTCCTCAGGTGTTCCTAGGGGAAACTGAGGAATGCAGTGGGAAAGCAAAGTGGAGAAGTGAAACCCAGACACAATGCTACGCCTCCAACCCCAAATTACTGCAAAAGGGTGCCCTGAGGTGAGATATTTTTAGAATCAATTTAGCACAGACCTGACCCTCTCATGCTACCCCCAAACTGGTGTGTGGTGTGGGAGGGGGACACATTGCTCAGGACAGGCTGGACTTGTTAACCTCTGCCATGGTAGAGGGGACAATGCAGCAATTTACCCTCATTGAGGCTTTTACCCTCATTGCCCAGGTTTTTGGTGGCCAAGGTTGCCAAGCACAGTCAGGAAGCACAGCTGCTCCCATCTGCACTGGGTGGAAGCTATTTGCACAGCATGCAGTCAGGTTTCCATCCATCCATCCATCCATCCATCCATCCATCCATCCACCCACCCACCCATCCATCCCTCCATCCATTCTGAGCCCAGGGGGCTCAGGGCCAGCTGAAACCTCACAGTCACAGGAGTGAGACCACGACAGGTCAAGCATGGGCTAAGAAATTCAGGGCCAGCCTGTGAGTCTTGCAGCTCAGGGAAAGAACCACAGCACAGCCCAAGTCACACATGTCCCTCTTGGCTGCACACCCCAAAGCAATCCCAGTGCCCTCCTGGCATGGGGCCCACAGCTGTGAGGTGAGGGCAAGCTTGCTACACATGGCCCCCATTTCTTATTTTTTTACTTTAAACATCCAGACAGTTCTGTTCTCCACATTTCTCCAGACAAGTCCACCAATCCCACATGCCATCCTATGGATATTTCAGATGCTGCATCTCCACTGAGACTACAGAGATTTGTTTAAGGGCTGAGTTAAACTCAGTGACCAGCCCCGCTCTGCCCAGCAGCCGATGCCCCCGGCAGCCTGGCCAGCCCCCAGCCCTTGAAAACCCCTCCCTGCTCCCCAGTGAGAGCAGCCAGCAGATCCATAGCCTGCAGGGAAGTCAGTGCAACACGCAGATTTGCAGGTCCTGGTTCCTGGCCCAGGTTCAAACCACATTTGTTCCTGAAATCTGTTTCAGGGTTTTCTTTGCGAGGCGCGCGTGTGCAGAGCCATGTGCGCTGGTTCCCAACACAGCCAGTGCCAAGGTCACTGTGCCAGCCTGGCACCGAGCTGGGGGTCTGAGTGCCCTCCTAAGCACACTGTGGGCAAGTCTGGAACTAGATGATCAGGGGAACTGGAACTAGATGAGCTTTAAGGTCCCTTACAACCCAAACCAGCCCACAATTCTGTGATGTACTGGACTATCTCCCACTTTGCTGCCCATTTAAGTGAAGAGGAACCAAAGGCTGTAAAGCAGCCCCGTGACACGGCGTGTTTTCTGCTGATGGGTGGAAACTTCAGCAAGACACGAGCCCTGGGGAGCTGGAGTGCACCACCCACAGCTACAGGCAGTCGGGAAGAGCAGCTCGGACTGGAAACAGTGACAATGCACGCTCCTGTCCCAGGAACAGCCATGCATGGATGGTTATTTCCATCCACAGGTCCGAGCTGCTCTCCAGGCATGGGGTTCAAGGGCTCCCCTCTGCAGGGAGGTGCAGGGGTGTGCTGCTGTCTGACAAAGCTGTTCCTGACGGGATGCATGCTGGACACATCTCCAGGCGGGCTCTGGGGCGAGATGCGGATGTGAGCTCACATGGGAAATTGTTCCAAGAGATAAAGAAACAAGTTGGAAACCGAGCTGCAAAATAGACAGCACAGGAAACAATAGCACTTCAGATAGGCTTTCCAATTTCCCACAGCCGTGCCAGGAGGCCAGTGCTTTGTCCCAGGGATGCTCGTGGGTCCCCCCTGCTCAGACATGCTGGGAGGAGGTGCAGGCTGCTTGCTCCCTCCTACCTCTTCTCTTTCAAGATCTTACAGGCATTTGCTGGTTGTTTAAATGAGAGGTTGGGGACCAAGTCCTTCAGGTCTCATTAAATAAGAGTTTAGCTCTGTGATGACTTCAAAGGCCAGGCAGGATCCCACAGCAGTAACAGGGAGAGGCAGATGGGATTCTGAAAGCATGGGAGCCCCATGGTCCATCCCCTGCTTGCCTCAGTGAGTCCAGTGAAATAATGCTGCTTTGCAGGAGCTGCCCATGCTGCTAAAGGCCATGCTGTCTCAGGATTGCTGATGTCCCTTCAATGCCACCAAGGCAGAAAAGGACCCTCTTGTCTTTGCAGCAGAGCCTCCACACTGCTTGGTCACTGCAGTGCTCTCCTTGTCTCATCCCCCTCTCCCCAGCCAGGGGCTGGGATGGCCCTCTCTGCCTCCCCGTGGAACCTCCCTGATTTTCCATCACTCTGGCACAAAGTCATTAAAGGGCAGAGCTATCATTAGGGCATCTCCATCACACAGGGAGCACTGCAAGGCCACTAACGATCGAGACAGGGAACATCGGACTTCCCTTCCCTGCTGCTGCTGCGTAGCCCATAAATAACCCTGTCTTGGGCTGTTTTGGTGAAGCCAGGAGGTGTTTAGAGGAGCCCCTGCCCTGCTGCTCCCAGGTCAAAGCTTGGAAGTGAGAATTGACCCTCGATCTCCTAAGCAAAGGCGTTCCTCCCTGATATATGAGCATTAACTGGCTAATGATTACAGAGACACAGACACAAGCCTTGGCTCAGACACTGAGTGCCACGGTTTTGCTCTGGGTGGATCTGGAGCCAGCTGAAGCTGATGGCTTAGCACAGGTAAACCATGATCAAACTCTATGGCAAAGGTGTCAGAGCAGCCCAACAGTGAAAATGACAGAAAGGATACTGCTTTAAAGTGCAAGATTGCTCATGTCTTCCTCCTCATCCCCTTCCTCATGCCTTTCTGGGCAGCCCTGTGACTGTCTGACCAACACCTGCTGCACAGGGGGCCTGGGCACATGTTGAGCCACTGGGTTCTAAGTGGCATCTCCAAGTGAGGCAGGGACAAAAGGATTCCCACCACTAATGGCTGTATCTTGGAAGGTTTGTCCTGACTCGGTTCTTGCACTGGCCATGCTGGCAGTGGGTGTCTCCTCGACTGAGAGGAGAGCAACAAAGATCTCCAGCACCTCCTCCTCTGGGAGCACCAGGCAGGCAGGAGAAAGAGAAATCAAGTCTTTTGTTACCACCTTCATTCAGTTTCATAGAGCACTGCTTGATGTGTGCTGTGCTGTCCTGTCCCTGCTGCACAGGCAGGAGCTCCCATCAGGGTGCTCTGTACCCTCCACTGTCCCCAGCTCCTAATGCCCCTGTCTTGAGGGACCCCTGGCTGCATGTCACATCACGTCCCTTCCATTGCATCACTTCTGGGGAGCCAGGAGGCCGGGCCATGGCACACACAGGGCAGCACAACCTGCTCCCTGCCACCTACAGCCTTTACTGCCGCTCAACATCTCTGGGACCGGGACCAGGACCACAGCCACTTCCTGGCACCGAGTCCAGGGCTGAGCCCTGGCACACCACAGCAGCCACTGGGGTGAGGAAGGACCAGGGAGGAGTGCACTGTACAGGCCAGCAAAACACAGGGAGGTGGAGCAGATCCCCACTCAGTCCAGCAGGTCTCACACGAGGCTGCACAGCTCCCTGACACGATGCCCAGCACCATGAGGGCGGTGAGATGGCCATGCCAGGATCGGTGCCACAAGATGCCAGCCCCCTGCCACACCTGTGCCCACGCACACAGCCTGTGCAGCAGCCTCAGCCCTGCAGGCTGCCTCCCGTGTCCGTCCCAAGTGGCCCCAGGATGCAGCACAGCCTGTCTGGGCAGTGAGCAGGATAAAACCTCATCCTGATCCCAGCGTGGCTCAGGGCAAAGCCCACCATGCTCCTCCATGGCACCGGGGGCTGTGACAGTGGGGACACGCCACTGCCACCACTCGCAGCCACACACGGGGGGTTGGATCGCCCAGGCTGCGATGGGGAACTTCCCGAATGGATGAAGTCTTAAATGGGAGAAGCCGGGTCTGTGCAGCCCCCCAGCAGCTGAGCCAGGCGGGCACGGCGAGGGGCACGACTCGCCAGGTCCGCCAGGGCTGGACGCTGGCCCCAGAATCACCGGTGAACAAACACAACAAGGGAAGCGGATCACGAGACATCAAAGCAGGGGGGCGATGAATATTTCATGTCCTGGCCTACATACAGCCCGGCTGTCCCCGCCCTGCGCTCCCGGGGGTCCCCCACAGCCCCTGAGCACAACAAAGGGGAGTTGCAGGCAGGCGGGGCCGCCCCGCCGGACCCCCGGCGTCCCCAGCTCTGCCCCGCCGGGCAGTGACACCCCCAGCCGGACCCACGGCTGCCCCACCAGAGCATGTGCATCCCGCTGGACCCACCGCCGCCCCACCGACACCCGGCGCCAGAGCGCCAGCATCCTTGTGGGGACCCGCAGCCAGGGTACCGCACGCTGCCGGACCCACAGCTGCCCCACGGCAGCCTGGGCACTCTCGGCTGGAGCCATCGCCTCCTTGCCGGGCTGCCAGCATCCCCGATCGGACCCACAACCAGCTCGGGCCGCCGCGGGCATTCCCCCGCCGCCCCGCCGGACTCCTCTGCGGGCATCCCACTGCGGGCATCCCCCCGCTGGTGCCCACTGCGGGCATCCCCCGCCGGACCCCACGGCCGGAGCCTGGACATCCCCCGCCAGAACCCATGCCCGGAGCCCGGACATCCCTGTCCGTATCCACTGCCGGAGCCCCGGCACCCCACCGGAGCCCGCTGCCGGACCGTGGCACCCTCGCCTGCCCCGCAGCGGGGCTGCCCGGCACTCACCTCCCGCCTGTCCGCGGAGCGGGGCCGCCCCCGCCGCTCGCCTCCAGCGCTCGGCCCCGGCTTTGTCTCCGCGCCGGGGGCGCGGCCGCCGCCCCCCGCCGCCGCCGCCGCCGCCGCGCTCGGTGCCCGCACCGCCCCGCACCGGGCCGGGCTCAGCGCTGCGCCGCCGGCAGCAGCATCGCGCAGCGCCGCGGCCCCGGCGCGCTGGTGCCTCGCCCGCCCCCGCTCACCCCTTCTGCGGGGCGGGGGGGAGCACCACGGGGAGGGGAAAATAAAAAAAAAATAAATAAAAAAAAAAAGAGAGTAATATGGCAGCAAACCGGAAACGGAGGATGGGGGAAAAGGCAGCAGCAGCCCCTCCCCTCCCTCCGTGGCTTTTTTTTTTTTTTCCAGGGAGAAGGCTCCGGGCAGCCGGGCTCCGCGGGGCGCGCACGGGCCAGGGGCCGCCCCCGCCGCCGGCGCTGCCGGCGCGTCCCGGCCCGCGGCGGGGGAACCGCCTGGCTGCGCCGGGGACACGCGTGGGAGCGGCGGCCGCGGTCCCCGGGGCGCGTCGCCCCGCGGGTGAGGGGCTGGGGGTGCTCCCACCCGAGCCCTGCGCTGCTCGTCCCGGCGGGCTGGCGTGATGTGGCACCTGGGAGTCGGAGCTGGTAACACAACAGTGATTTTCAGGAGGCTGGAACCTCCTGGCTGGGTTGCGGTTCGCTTTATTCACAGCTCTAACACAGGGCGAATTGCGGGGGAAATGCTGTTTTGTCAGGTTCTGTTCCTCCCCATCCCCAGGAGGGACACCTCGCCTTCCCAGAGGACCGCAACCCACGTTCCCCCTTCTGTGAAGTCGGAAGGAGGCAAAACTTCAGATGGAAAAGCAGGCAAAGATAAACCGCGTCCTGTGCCTCCCTGGGAACCCGGGGAACTTTGTGGGGCCCTTTGGAGGCAGCACAGGCTCTCGGCGGTGTCTGTGCTCTGTCGGGGCATCCATTCCGCTTAGGGGTTAACATCTCCCACCCCCGCTCGCCCCTGGAGCCGGTGTCGGATCCAAACCAAGGCAGAGTGGAGCTGTGGTTGTTCTGGGGGGCTCAGGCCCCAGCTGGCAGCATCACCCCCTCAGGTGTGTGTGTGCCCCTGAGTGCCGCTCAGGCAGGTGGGCACACGGGGACAGTTCCACCCATCGTTCCCCTTGCAGCAGCAGCAGCGGGAGGTGGGAAATGCCCAGCTCTGCCCTGGCACCGGGGTGCACACGCGGGCTCGGGCTCTGCCGGGTGCCCCGGTGCCTGCACCCAGCCCGTCGGGGCTGCCCGACCAGCTCAGCGGCGCTGGCAGCCCTCCCACCTCCCCCACTGGCGATCCATTGAAGTGTTCCCTGTCACGTTATCCTCCAGGAAGAAAGGGGGTGAAGCAGTCCACTCCTTAAACCCACATTCAGCTCTTTTATGCGGCACGCTCGGCTGCCGGCCAGCTGCAGTGACCCTTGTATTTGCACAGCCAGCAGCACCTCTGCCGTCCCTGCCCACCCCTCGGACCCACTGCAGCCACTCCGCGGGGCTTTTTCAAAAACCCTCCTTCCTCTGAGCAAGAGCTGACATTTCAGAAACAATTTGGGAAGTTAACAACTTTGAAAGAACTATGTGGCGGAGTTTTTCTTTCTGTTTCCCACTCTCCCCCTCAAACCCCCCCCCCCCCCCCCCCCCGCCTTTTGAGTTATTAAAGAAATATTTCCCATGACACTGGCGAAGGCCAGCGAATCCATGAGTCACCAGGAACGGGGAGTCATGCACGCGCCGATCCATCAGCCGTGGCCAGCACATTGTGAGGGGCCCTTCCCTGGGAGGAGCTGCCGCTGATAAGGTCCCTGCGGCCGGGCAGGAGCCGCTTTCCCTCGGGGCTCCCTCCCAGGGCCGCCCGGGCTCCCCGGACACCCTTGGTGTGTGTGGTCTGGGGGTCCAGCCCTGCCTGGAACATCCAACCGCAGCCCGGTGTGTTCCCAGGCTTGGGGGGGTTAATTCTTAGCCCAACCTCTGCTGTTCAGCTGCGGAGGGAGGGATTCTTCATCCGATGTGGGATGAAGGGATTAACCCGGTGGTGTGGGGCAGTCCCGGGTACTGCTCTGCGGACCCACACAGGGGAAAGAGGGGGTCGCACAATGCCTGGCAGCGCCACACCTCGTCCCTGCTGTGCTGCACAGGGACACTCCCCGGTCCCTCCCTGTCCCAGGAGCTCCCACTCCAGCCCGGAGCTCTGCCGGAGGGGAGAACACCCCGGGGCAGTGGGGACCTGGCTCCAGCCCCGGGTGAGCTGGTGAGGATGACTCAGCCTCTGCTGGATGCAGACCCAAATCTAAGATGCAATTATGACTTATAAATATTTGTATTTTGTTTTTCTCTTTTGCAATCGGCTTCTTTTCTGCAGGCTGTCCTCCCAATCGGAGTTCCCATCTCTGGCGGTGCCGGCCCATGGCTGCAAGGCAAACACCCACAGCACTGAGCCTTTCAACAGCCAGACCAAGTCCACGACACAGCCTCTTCTTCCTCTAAGATGATGCCAATGTGCAAATCTAAATTTACAAACAGACACTGTCTAAACCCAGACTCTTATCTTTTGGTCTCAAATGCTGGAATGTGCCCTCACAGGGCTGACATTAAACACGCAGTGCTGGTGATAGTGCGATTTAAGACCATTTAAACAACCCAGCTCACCTCAGGACACTCCTGGCTCAGACATGAGGTCTGGAGCCTGACAGCCCCTGGCCACCCACTTCCCTTTGCCTCCTGCCTCTCTTCAAATATTTATCTTTAAGCAGTCTGATGCAAATTGCTGCTTTTTTCACCCAACCAGAGATTTCGGTCTCTCGTCCGAAACTCATTTTCTTGATATGATTCTTCACTTTTAAATAGCGCTGATAAAAACCCACCCCAGAGAGAGGAAGAGGGTTACAGAAACTGAAAACCAGATACTTTCAATTTGAACAAAAGTAGCACTGAGCATTTCCAGTGGCTTGGTTGTTACAGGACGGCTTGAAAAGATACTTTAAAAAGAAATGAAGACACGCTCAGGTATTTCTGTGTTTTCTTGCTGACCTTTACACGAGTTTCATCAGCAACAAGAAGAATGAGAGTTACTGTGGGCAGATGCTGTCACGCTCATGAGTAAGTAAGTAAGTACGTGGCACCTTCCCCTCCAGGTGTGCAGATCAAACTGCTCCACAGGGCTCCTGAAATCCTCCTGTGAGGTAAGAGGGTGCTTGTTGGGTCCAGTGTTTCATCTGAGCCCTGACCTCCCCAAAGTAACTGTGGATTTACAACAAAACATCTATTCATCTCCAGCCAGCTTTATTTTTAAGCATCCCCTTGGCACGCGTGAATAAGTTTTGTCTGTTGGATTCTGTTCCTGAGGCTGCACTTTGTTCACTGCAAATTGGAAATACAGTTGCAGGAATTATTACTATTAATAATATAATGGTTGTGTTTGAGATGCTGGACAGACAGAGAGAGAGGCAGCTGTGGCTCTTGCCCTGAGATTTTATGATTGAGCTTTACAGCCCTGCAAATAGTGAGTGTGAGATGGGAAATGATCAGCACCATCAGCCCTGTTAGGGAAGCTGCAGTTTCAAGCTCAGGAGCTGATTTACTGAGGGGGATTGACCAGAATAACCCTGCAGCATGAGCCATTTGGCAATATTTCATGCTAGAAATGCTCATTCTGGCCATTCTCTCCCATACTGAGCATCAGGGCTGCAGGAGCAGCAATCACCAGCAGCTTATAGGATAAAAAGGGGCACCTGAGAAGAAATTACCAGGAGGGCTCAGGACCTGTTGTGTCTCTCAGTGTGGTGACAATCTGCTATGCAAAAGGGGCCCTTAGCCCCTGCCAGGAAGTGTCATTGCAAAATTCCCTGGGGGAAAGGGCTGTGGGGAAGCCACTGACTTGGTGACATGCAAATATTTAATAAGGAGGCGCTGAGTTCAACAGCTGTGGGCTGAAATTATCTGCATGGTCAATAAAGGAACAACATTTCCTGTCAGGGTTCTGACTGATAAAATATGCTTTGATATAATTTGAATTAAGTATCTTGGAATACAGCTCGTTTGGGCAAAAATCTGACACGTTTTGCTTCTTGCCTCAGCTCAGCATGAAAGCTGAACAACAAGACGTTGGCATCTCCCAGCATGGAAATTCTGCTTTTTGGCCAGTCTTAGTATCCATAGAAAAAAAGAGTGATTCAGAAAAGCTCAGGGAAGCTCCTGCAGATGAGATTTATGGCCCTGCTCCTGGCTTGGTTTGGTAGCAGAGCAGCAGAGGATGGCTGCTTGGTGCAGAGCTCTGGTAGCCACATCCAGCAGACCCTGCCCCAGGGCTGGGGTGTTCCCTCCCTGCCAGCACCCAGCTGGCCTGCCTGCAGCCTGAGCAGGCAGAGCTGGAGCAGACACCAGGGTGTTTCCCCTTAATCATCCAGCCTTGGTCCTTAGAGCGAGGGATGGGCAGAGGAGGCCACAGCCTGAATCTGAAAAACTTCAACCATGTGATGCTTGGATCCCAGCTCAGCTTAAAACAAGTTAAGTGAGGGGGGAGCTAGGGATGAGAACTGCTTGTAGCTTTTCTCAAAATGTGCTCCTCCTGCCCAGGTCTGACACTGAGGATATCTGCTTCACCAATGGAGCCACCACAGCTCACAAGGAGCTGCTGCATGGAAGCACAGCCATGAGGAGCCTCTCCTGCACACAGCCCTGCAGCTGCAGCCTGCCCCTTTGGCTAGAGCACTGGGCAAGGGCTGCCCTCAGGGAGCCCCAGGGATGTCACTCCACAAGCTCCAGCAGGGATCCTGCCTGCTCAGCCAGAGCTGAGGCACAAATGACAGCAGGAAACGTCAGGAGCTGATTCCTGGAGCTGCACAAGCAGCTCTGCCTGCAGAACTCGATGGTGTCTGCTGTACTCTGGACTTTGGCTCGTGGCAAGGTGAATTTATAAGCTTGGGATGGCTTTTGCACAAGAGCAGCCAAAGGGAAGGCAGCAGGAACAAGCCTTGGAGCCAGGGACACCTGGGGTTAGCTTGGGCCA